TTAGTTATGATTTACATAGTAAAAATCCAGTGTGGTTGGGTTATAACCATCATGTTACCTTATAATTTTCTAAACCATCGCAGCCTATATTAACATAAGATTTGATTGAAATTGCTCTTTTCAGATTTTTGTTTAAATTTCCTAATGGTTTGAAATTATTTAATTTGCATGGTTATCTTAAATAGTAGATTCAAACTGTTCTAAGAGCGTTTTGGAACATATTTCGAAAATTATTATAACCAAAAAAAAACATCAAGAAAATAATTTTGATAAAATTGGCTTCCATAAAATTACCACTTTTGAGTAAATTATAAGATCAATCTGATAATTATTTAAGAATTTTTACATTAAAATACACAGATCGAAACATGAAGATAACGACATGATGATTGCTTGTTAAAAGTAAAAAACCGATTAAGATAAACCCGCTTATATGAAACCATATTTAAAAGAGAGAGAAAAATAATAATTTTGAACTTTTAAGTAAGTTAAGGTTTATTTTCCAGGCCTGTACTGAGATCTATTAGTTTGACGATTACGTGAAGGGGGTGGAACTTGGTTTGAGCTTCCAGAATCTAAACTCTGATAATTTTGTCTTGGAGGGGCTTGCGGTAGAGGCTCCTCATCTTCATATTCGGGTGCTTCTGTTGGTTTTGGCTCACTAAAACACGTTGTAAAAAATATCAAATATTATTATGCATTAAAAACTCTTTAACCCCCCAGCTTAAACCCTTATAATACACGTAATAAAACGAAATTGTCTATTTTAATATCTAAGATTATCTGAACTGTAGAAGATGTACACCTTCAATCCTTGAGTGATCTGGTGAAACAAACTGATGGTATCTAAAGCCCAACAAACATGGTTGTATGTACAGTCATCTGAGGAGATTAAATTGAGGTTGGAACTAGCTAGGATAAAATAAAAACGTCCCCTAAATGCCTTGTCTACAGTAATATATACACAGCGGGGTCACAAGTAAATAGACACCTAATTTTTCGTCATTTAACTGATTTTTGCTAACTAATTTCACAGAGCACTATATACATGAAAATGGTCCGCACACTAATTATCTTGTGCTACAACAT